GAGGGCGCCGCGGAGGGCGCCGGCGGGGGCGGCGAGGGCGCCGGCGGCGCGGGCGCGAGTAGGGCCTGGGCCGCGTGGGACACGGACTCGGGCGACGAGGACGACGCCTACTACTCGGCGCCGCGCGTGGGGGGCGTCGTGTGGCGGCCCGGGCCGCTGAAGGCCGGCGCGCTGAGCGCCCACCTGCCGCTCGTGGTCTTCCTGGTCTTCTCGGTGCGCAGCCCCTCGTGGGTGCTCAACTTCCTGCTGCAGAAGCGCACGGAGCAGGGCCGCGGCTGCGGCTTCGTGTTCGGGGCGACCTGCTGCTTCCGAGTGTTCCTGGGCTGCGCCTTCTTCTCCTACTTGGGCGGCCGCGCCAGGCGCAGAGGCCGCGGGCGCTCGGGGGCCGGCGGCGCCTTCGGCTCGGGCCAGGGTGCCCGGCGCCGGGGGCGCGACGAGCGGCTCATCTAGTCCGCCCCGCGCCCCCGCCCCCGCCCCCGCCACCAGACACCACCATCGCTGTGTAGTGTGGATTTTTATTGAGTATTTGTGTGTGTGTTTGGACACATTTTCCTTTTCGGTTGCTCTGTCCTTTGGTTCGTGCTCGCCTCGCTTTTTCCACACTCTCCCTGCTCTCTGGCTCTCTCCGTCTCTCTCTCTCTCTCTCTCTCTCTTTTCGAAAATTTTCCGAAGTCCGGGCTCGGGCTCGCGCTCCCTCCCCTTCTGCCCACCCCGGCCCCTCGGCGGCGCCCGCGGGAGGGGCGGGGAGGGGGGTGGGGGCGCTCGGCCTCGGGGGCCGCAGGGCTACGCGGCCCGGGGGGTGGAGCGTTGGCGTCGTGCGAGGGGTCGTCACCGGCTCGGGGCCGCCCCCTCTCCCCCCGCAGTCCGCCCCGCGCGCTCCTCCCCGAGGAGCCGAGCCCGCGCCCGGCCCGCCCGCCCGGCGCTGCCCCGGCCCTCCCGGCCCTCCCGGCCCTCCCGGCCCGCGTGAGGCCGCCCGCGCCCCGCGCCCCGCCGCCGCCGCCATGGGCTGCCTCGGAAACAGTAAGACCAAGGACCAGCGCAACGAGGAGAAGGCGCAGCGCGAGGCCAACAAAAAGATCGAGAAGCAGCTGCAGAAGGACAAGCAGGTCTACCGGGCCACGCACCGCCTGCTGCTGCTGGGTAAGGGCGGGGCGGGGGGCGCCGGCGCCGGCCCCGGCCCGGCCCGGGGGCCCCTCGGGGCGCCCCGCAGGCCGCGCCCGCCGAGCCCGCCCCCCGCCCCGGGCGCGTGCTCCCGAGCCCGCCGCCCGCTCGCGGGCCGTCCCCGGGGGGGGCGAGGCCGGAAGGGGGACCCCGGGGCGCGGATTCGGCCAGGCGGGGGCTCAAAACGGGGCAGGGGGCCGCGGCGGCGCGGGCGCGGCCCCCCCCCCCCCCGGCCCGCCCGCTCTGTCCGTCCGTCCGTCTGTCCGCCCCTCTCTCTCCCGCCTCCCCCTCGCTCTCTTTTCCTCTCTCTGTTTTCCGCGAGGCCTACACGACGCCAGGGGTTTGGGTGCATGTTGGGGAGGGGGAGGGGGAGCCCCGCCGGGCTCGGGAGACTGCGACAAAAAAAAAAAGAAAAAAGAGGGTTTCGGGGACAGGAAATGGGGTGGCGGGCAGGGGGAGGGGGACCCGCCTCCGTGGGATGTGTGATTTGTTGGGAGAAGGAGAAGAAAGGGGCCGGAGAGGAGGGGGAGACGCGGGTCGGGGTGGCACCTCGCCAAGGGGAGGCTTCGGCGGGGGAAGTGCCCGAGGAGCGTGCGGGGGGGCGGGTGACATCAGCCCCTCGGAAGGGATCGCAGCGGTAAAGGTGGTGCAGTGGGGGGGAGGGGGGCGGGCGAGTCGTGGCGCCGGGGCGGGGGGGGGCGGGGGGCGGGAGCGCGGCCGCCGCTGGGCGCGACTCGGTGCGTTTCGGGCAGGACACGCCGTGTGCGCGGAGCAGACGTGTCCCGGGCCGGGTCAGGCCGTGGAAGGAAGACCAGGAGAATCCAATACAATTAAGACCCCAAAAAAGACAAAAAAAAAAATTAAAAAAAAGGAAAAATGGAGTTAGTAAGCTAAGTGCCCAGTGAAGCCAAATGACACGTCATTTTTACAGTATGACCTTTTTATCCTCTTCCAGACATGCAGGCTTTTTTGAAAAGCAAAGAGAATTTAATTGTAGCCCCTCCACCACCACCACCACCAGCACCAAACCATTACACACACACACACACACACACACACACACACGCGCGCGCGCGCGCGCACACACACACACACATTTTCCTGTTAGTCGGCCACATTGAGAGTGCTTTGTGAAAGAAGGAAAAAAAAAAGACATTCACAAATCAGAACTGGAAAATGACATTTGTCTGTAAATGGCTTCTTGGTCTGGAAATGGCGTGTTTTTTTTTTTTTGTCCTTTTCAAGGTGGGAGGGGGCATTGAGAGCGCTTTCAGGAGGAGACTTCTTTTCCAGGTGGAAGGAGATGAAAAGACGTTAATTAGTTGTTTGTCAAGTGACACTTGGTTGTTTGGTTTTGGGTTTTCTCTTGATTGCGGTTTTTCTTCTTTGGCCAGAAAAAAAAAAAAAGGCGGGGAGGGGGGGCGTGTTAACTATAAGGAGATGGCCTTTCCTCCTTTTTTCTTAAGGGAGGGGGGGATGGAACAAAATAAAACAGAAGCATAAAAGAAATTGTTGAAATGACCAGAAGAATTACACAAGCATTAATTAGTATGGAAGTTTTCCACTTCCTTAGTAATTTGGCTATCTGAGTTAATTTGTGAATTTGCTAGGTTAAAGCCTAGTTCATGGTCACATTTCAACAAAACAGCTTGAATATAAAGAATAAAAATGTAAAAAGGTTGGTTTTTCTTTGTTGGTGGTGTTTGGTTTGCTTTTTTTTTTTTTTTTTGGATGGGTCACCCCTTTGTTCTCCTGGGTCCAGATTTCTATAAAGCTGAAAATTAAGTGGTAATAAGTCTGGTGTTTATGCATTTGCCATTTCAAAAATTAAATGATACCTGTGTTGAAGTCTTGCCTAAAACTGCTAAAGGTAGAATTATGCTATGTGAATATTAATGTGTATATAACTTGATTTCAAAGTAGAAGCCTGGAAAAGTCTAGAATCTTTCCTAGGAATGCCATCTTGCTACCTGAATACTAATTTGAAACAAATGTGATACTAAAGGTGCCTTAGATTTCTGACACCTTTGCTCAGAGATCACAAAGTCTCCGCTTAATTTGAGACTGTTACTCTGAAACACACCTTGCATCCCTGTGGGCTAATTTTCCCCAGGTGTCCTAGCTTTTATGGCTACATTTTATCATGATTTATTGATAGCCCCTGGCATAAGGGTCTGCAGCCCAACTCAGTGCCACACATTTTGCATTTTTAAATGGTAGTTCTCACCAAATAATGCCCCCCCCAGAGGAAACCTTAATGATACCCCAGATCCTCTTTGTAAATGCATCTTATTAATCACATGAAATTGAGTAAATTACAGCACCACTAAAGCCCCTGCAGTAATTTTTCAGCCCAATCCTCTAATTTCATAAATGTGGAAACTGAGGCACAGACCTGTTTGCGTCTGTGAGAGAGAGGTGTTACACACGTTAACACTTCTGACAAAAGAATTTGCAGATCCTGATTAATGTCCTGTATTCTCTGCATTATTAGAGAATAATATTTTGACTTATTAGAGTTGGTCTCATTAAGATACAGTGTTTGCTTTGAAATCAATGTTTCTGTGGAAACTAATTTTAACTTTTACAGATATTGATTACAGCCTTGTGAAAAGGCAAGAGAAGGAGGAATGCTTCGCTCTCTGGGCAGTAAAACAAAAGCAATTAATAAAATGAAAAGTGGAAAAAAATTAAATTAAAAAACCCAAACAGGATTGTGTGGGAGGAGGGCAAAAAATTTTTCACACAAAGAGTATTTGTTGAGGAGAGTGTACATTTGCAAAAAAGAAAAAAAATAGCAATCCTCCTTCTAGCTGGGTGGAAATGTGCCTTTTTTTTTCCCCATAAAATATATGTTTACAAATGAAAGGTGACTTCAAATGGAGGCATGTGCTCCTTCTGACTTCCGGAGAAGGGCTTGAGGGTTCTGAAAATTCAGTAGCTCCCAGGAATATTTTTCCTCATGATTTAAGTCGTGTCCTTTTAAGACTTTCTACAGTTGTTGCTGTATGTGAATATGGTTGTTCTCAAGCACTACGTTTGATATTAAAGTGTGTTTTTCGAGAAAGATGACATACAATTGATGGGCTTCCACTCCCCCCCACCCCCCCAGCTACCCCCACCCCACCCCCCACCCTGCAACATGGTGGTGCTTGTATCCAGAGAGAATTTATCTTTAGGATAGTACCTTTGGCGGGGAGGGAGGGAGGGAGGATCCTCGTAACCTTGAGGGTTGGGGTTGATTTTTTGAGTAGCCCAAGGCTGGAGAAAGCTGCCCGCAAAGAAGCTGCATTGTGAGAATTTGCGGGAGGGAAATGCTGCGTCCGTGCAAAGCTGAAGGAGACTGCGGTGTCTGGGCATTGTTTGTGAGTCCTGGGGGCTTTAACCATGAAACCTCCAACAAACAGTGAATTCTGTGGCCGCCTACAGTGATGTGTGCGTTTCACCAAGTGAATGCTCCTATTTCAAGAATTCAGTTTCAGTTTTAACTTCAATTTTCTCTCCCCCCCCATATGACAAAACTGCGTCATTCCTTCCCTTTGCCCCTTGGCTTCCCCACCCCACAAATTTTAAAACAACCCAAAGGGGGGGGGACAGAAAAATCCCGAAAACAGCAATCCCTTTTGAATCCTCGGTAACGGTGATGGTGAATACTGCAGGTAGACAGCGTTGCGCATGTGTTTCATTTTTCTCTGCGTCGAAATGTCAAGGAAAATTGCAAGTCTTGTTATTTTGTTTTTTCTGCGTGCTGCTCCTATGGAAAAGACGGCAGTCCTCTTCCCTGCCCGAAGTGTGTAAAATGCCTCCTTCATAACCTGAGACTTACTTTCATTTTCTAGGTGCCGGAGAATCTGGTAAAAGCACCATAGTGAAGCAGATGAGGATCCTGCATGTTAATGGGTTTAATGGAGAGTAAGTGTCAACTCTGGGCAAGGGCACAGCAGGATTAACACATTTGATACTAACCTTTAGGAAGTTTAGGTAGATTTTGGGGGCTGGGCAGCCAATTTTCACTTGATTTTTTTCAGCCTACATGTTAGAAAATCCAGGGAAGAGCTCTTTGGGGATTCCCCCCCCTCCTTTTAATCTTTGGTGCAGCAATAAATAATAACAGTAATAATAAAGCACCAGGGTTCTTAGGAAAACACCCCCACCCCACACCCCACCCCAGGAAAACAGCACCTGGCTGGCCCTGTGACCGGTCTGCCGCAGGCCTGCCCACAGATTTTGGTGCAGTGGGTCTTCAACATGGCTGACACCTGCCGAGGCCACCCCCTTTGCGGGCACCCTGGCCACTGCAGAGAAGCCCCCCCCACCCCCACCCCCGCATCACAGTAGATGTCAGCGCAGTGCACCAATGCAGGATGTTTTAAGTTATTAGAGAAAAACACTGTCTCAATAATGTCCTCACCTAAAACAAAGTTAGAAGAGGCAAGTAGTCCCTGTTAATAATTGTTCCCCCACCAGCCCCCTTTGGAATTAATATTATGGGCAAATCATTGTTTCCCTTTCTTTAAAAAAAAAATCCATAGTCTTGCCTAAAGAAAGAAAAAGGAGACATGTAAGTGATGGAGATTGGGAGTTAGGTACTTCCGGCCGGCCGGGTCAAGGGGCATTTTTGCCTTTGAAAAGTCCTTGCAGGCATCCTGGTATAGGGACAGGGTGACAATACCGCATTGAGAACAAAGATTAAGAGAGAGGGACCTAAGAGAAATGTAGGGTCCTGTTTGCCATGAAGAATGCAAACGGAGGGGAGCTTTCAATATCATCAGGGCACTGGCTTTTCTTTCCAGACCCCAAATGGACACCCCCTCCTCCCCCCTGGGGAAACAGAAGACACTAAATCTCTCATCCTCTGCTTTCACTGGGGTGACAGCCATTCACTGCACCAGACTGCAAACACCTGAAGGCACTAGTTTGGAATTACTAGCTGGTTAGCAGTCCTAATCCCTTCCCTAAACCTGGGTTCAGTTTAAAAGTTGTCTCTCCGTTGCATCCCCTTTGGTTTCGAAAGGGGACATTGAGTCAAGGCTGCATAGTTTGTTATGCACCAAAGGCACCCCCTCTGCCCCCCCCAAATAAAATGCCATTTACGTACTTTACGTACGGATGCCTTCTACGCACCAGGCACTGAGGACACAATGATGGATTTTATTACCTTTCAGAGGTAAAAGGACTGCACTTAAAGGCAGCCCTTAATGGAACATTCTAGAATTTTCTTAGGTCAGCTAATCGGGGCTGAGGATGATGTCACACATACAACTGGGTGTTTTAGTTTAGGATGATTTCTATGCTTTAAGCATGGATTCGCAAGGATGGGCTACTTTACCAATTTTAGGAGTGACCCGATGTGTTATCAATATGCACATGCAGGTCACTAATAGAGCGGCTCACTCTCACTTGTCACAAAGCAATTCTGAGATTCTTAATTCCTGACACACCCTTCAATAAAGCCCTATTCCCAGAGATTGCCAGCAGTTGATAAACAAAAAGCCCAAAACTGACTTTTAGTTATGTGAATTTGTAATTTAAAGATAAATCTTGTATAATTATCCCCCCCCCACTCCCGCAACTTGCCGGGGAGTGCTTCTTCACGAGGCTAGTTAAGCAAAAATAATTTGACCATGTACCCTCTAGATAAATATTTTGATTAAAACTGGACATGGCTAGCATTTTTAAAAGGACGCAGCCGCCGCTGTTTACCTTCTTGAGTCCAGCAGAAGGTAGGACATCCTTGCCATAACTTAAGGCTTCCTCACTCCCCAGGCTGCCCTACAGTTCTTTTTAATTTTTAGAGAAAGGGTTCTCCCTTGACGAACCAGTCTGTAACACACACGAGGCATTTAAACCAGAACTTCTCTTTTCTATTTTCTTTTTAAAAAGAGGAAGCAACATTCCCAGTCTGCCTGCCTGGTAGAGGAAGCCATAGGTAATCTCTCAGGATGTTAAATTTAGCCCGTGGAAGTGACATACAGGGGAATTCTTCGTGTGAGTCTAGAAACTTTATTTTTGTCTCCTTCAAATGAGCCTCCTCTTTTCTTTTTCCTCACTGCGGTATTGCAACAAAAGCGGTTTCCTTCTTCACTAGGGATTCCCTGTGAAATAATGGTGACATCCATCCACTCGGGGTGTTCTGCGTGGCGCGGGGCCTTTCCCTCCTCACTCCCGTGAATGTGCGCTTTGTCAGGGCTGGGCTGAGCTATTAAATTTGCCTTAACTATCCGCACACTGCCGGGCCGGTTACATTTTGAGAGTAAAGTGTAATATTAATCTGACCTTGAGAAATACAGAGGTCAAGTGTGGATTTTCCTAACTCAAAGCTAACTCTTCCTCATGTTGGGGTGGTGGGGGAAGGTGCCATTAACATTGGTTGAGCTAATAAGCTAATCAATTTTAAAAAAACCCATGTAGAACGCTTAGCTGCGCTGCCCTTCCCACCTTCAAGGAGGAATTCCTACCATTTATGAAGATTAGGTTTTGAGTAGGGTTTTGGGGCTTTTGGTTTTTTATTTTTTTATGGTGGTGGTAGTGGATTTTGTTCTTCCAGTTTTTTCTTTTTCTTTTTTTTCTTTTTTTTTTTTTTTGCTGCCTCACGGTGCAGACACAATTTTAATTGATGACAATTTATCGGGAACAATTATATAAATAAAAACACTTTAGAGGTAGTTACCCCGACTACAAGAAGGGAGGAAATTAATACTGCACCAGGAAATCATGGGCAAAAATCAGGCATGTCTGTGCCTTTGTGTGTTCAGATACAACATGGGAGAGATTGAGATCTGGGAGAAATAAGCCTTACGAGCTGCTGTATTCTCAAAAGAATTGTGAGATAAATCACTGCTTTATCTCCCTGATGCGTGTACATTTAGGGAAAGCACAAGAAAATAATTATCCGTCCCTTCTGTATACCCGACCAGAGAGTCTCCAGAGGGCTCGGCTAATAGGGTGGCGGAGGTGTGGCATTCTTCCCTCCACGGCCGCAGTCTCAGGAGACATTCCAGCTTAGCCAGGAAGGCGACCAGGATTGACCCGGGAGGATGGCGGACATTTGTTTAGGAATGTAGAGAGGCTGTGTGGGGTTTTTGGGAAATCGCGGTGCCTTGCAGATGAGGCGAGCTTTCAATCTCTCTTTAAAAGGGGCGGCGAAGAGGACCCGCAAGCTGCAAGGAGCAACAGCGATGGGTAGGCACATTCAAAAACAGAAAAACTTTTTTAACAGACACACACACACGAAGATCACACTGGGAACCCGAGACCCGGGGAGGAAGCAGAACTCATGTCAGGGCCATCAGCCATCATGGTCCACGTTCGCACATGACACATGAACAGTCTCTTAACATTGCAGAGCGAGGGAAGCGCAGAACGTAATGGGGGGGGGAGCCTTTAAGTATAATTAAATCCAGCTGGGGACAAATTATAGATTTCATTTCAGCTTTAGCTGATCAGTTTAAGATTTCGAGAATTGATGTTTTTCCGTATGGTTTGTTTCCCCACTCCCCACCCCTACCCCAGCTGTCCATTCAAATTGGCTACTTGTTTTTAAAAACTATCTACTAAATTCCCTCCACCCAGTGCTTGGTCTGATTTTAAAATTTCAGACCTTTGAGGGGGGTGAAGACAAAAATCTTTCTCTCCTATTAAAATACGTGGTGCTGCACTGTCTGTAATTTGGGGAGGAAAAAAAGTGCCTCGGCACCTCGCAGGAGGTCATTGTTAAGAATGATCTCGAAAAGTCTCCGATCTCTTCAAGATTTTCAAGTACTTTTTTAATTGGAGGCATTTTGTGTTAGCTGGTGGATAGGAAATTCACGATGGCATCCGCTTTTTTTTTTCTCCATTCATTGTCAATTTTTTTGTGTTTCTTCAGTTCTCCATCCCCACTCCCATCACATGCCGACACGCACACGCATGCCAGGTAACCATTGCAGGTCTGCTTGCACATTCAGCATGCAGTGATGAAGCAGCTATTTCTCATGAGAACACGCAGAGCCAATTGACCTAGCCTAGGGTATCTCAAAGAAATAGCTTCTGAGGCCAGGGTGGGGCGGGGCAAAGGATCCTGGGACAAAGTAACTTACACATGTTTGTTCATCTGTTTCTTTTAGAATATATTATCCCTAGATGATGGCTACAGTTTCTCATCTTCCTGGCTATGTCCTATCACACTTTGCATGCTGGAATTGCCTGGTCTTAGGAACTTCTAATAAGAATACTATTCTGTTGTGGGGGGGAGGGGGAGGGGCCCTACCACCTAACCTCTAAAGATAACCGAAAACCAAAAAAATTTTCAAAAAAAAAAAACAATTTACAAAAACCCCACACACACAAAAAATACATGACATGAAATCCTTCATTGGCAAAAACTTAGTGTAACAGCAATCCAAAGGCATCTACGTAAAAGTGACCGTTTACTGTACCAAAAGTTGGCGTTTGAGAACTACCTGACAAGCCCTTAACTGAACCACCTACTGTGTACTAGACCCTTGCACCCTACTAATACCTTGCCTGCACTTCTATCTGTGACTCTGTTCTGCAAGTAAATATAAGAATTAACATACGTGATAAATAAAAATTCTCTGCATGTCTCAGCAATCCCTGTATCCTGCGTCTGTCTGCTGTCTTCTTTTGTCTGTCCTTTCCCACAAAAGCACAATGATAAGGTATTATAGGACGGAAAAGAGACTCTTAGGACGACCTAGCCTCCCCCCTACCCCTTAGGCAGCTGACGAGGGGGAGGGGACGGGCTCTTAAAATTCAAACCCTGACAACAGGCTTTATATACATATGGGGGGAGGGGGGAGCAATGTGCTAAAAGCACTTCAGCCTCAGTCCTGATATTTTAGTCCATCCAGACTTGGTCATGGATACATAATTTGGCTTTGTAAGTAGTTTTAGAGACCTCTGAGGGATTTTTCTCTGATTTTCACAATCAACGTTAAATTCATTAAGTGATAGTAAAAATGATGATAAACCTGCCAGCCCCAGTATAATATCTCCATCTACATAGTAATTGCTTCAATGGAAGAATTTTATGTTTTAGTATTACACACCCGAATTAGATTTTAGATTTCTATTTTAGCTGTTTTATACTTGATATACTCCCACACCTATTCACATACGTAGATGAATACTGAACACGTTCTCAAAATATCCGTATTTAAGACTGGAAGTTTTCCAATTATCATACTACTACTTAGACCAAAATATCAAACTGAATGAAAGAACCTAGTTTCTGGAAGTACTTTCCTCTTGCTGTATGTACATTTGGGTACTTAATACCCGGACATCTCTAATTTTAACTACTCTGGGACGTTGAAAGCGAAGGTTAATGGCTCTCATTACCATGCAAATGGAGCCTGTTTTTAATGAATGGGAATGGATCTGTCCCGTGGGATTTTAGGTAAATTTGAGTCCATAAGTGAACTTTAGGGGCAAACACACATCCTTTAGAAATTTCTCATGTCTAAATAACTGATTTTGACCCTAGTAGCACTGGGTCTGCACAGGGTTCCTAATTTCAGAAATGAGCTTCAGTGGTGCATGTGGAGAGCAGAAAAGCCCCACAGGAGGGTCAGGACAGCGTAGGGAGGTTGCATTAAGAGGAGGGGGCCAGAGCCCAGCCTCCCATCGAGGCATGAATGCCCACACTCCCGGTTTGCAGGACTGTTTGCAGGATGCCTCTCGCTGCCATGTCTGCTCCTCAAGCTCTCCTGACTTCAGCATTTTTAAGTGGGTGTGATGGGGGGGGCGTGTTCCTGGGACCATATTTTACCCCCACCCCACAACATACCCTCCCCCCACTGATGAGAACACTCCTAAACCAGCCTCTTCGATATCAAAAGCAGTTTCTCAGAGGCCAGTTTAAGGGAGAAAGAGGGCTGACTCTGGAGAAGGGGTGAAATGAAATCCGAAATCTGGGCTCACCCCTCAGATCAATATGCAGATCGTTATTTTGATAGGATTGAAACAGGAAATGTTAGCTATTCCTTAGAAGGCCCAAGGCCAGGATGGGGGGGCAGGGCTGTTGGCAGGTGAGCACACGACCCCCTGCACCTCCCCTCTACCCTCCACCCCTTGCACCCTGCTCTACTACTAATCACCCTGCAGCCTGCAGGAGCTGTTAACCAACCCCCCCCCTTGTGTTTCCTCTTCTCCTGGGTGGTCACAAGCCTGATTCTCCCCCCTTTCCAGGACTCCTGGTGAATCCACCAAGTGAAAGCTTCACAGATACGAATCTTGAGCTTCTTTTTAAAAGTCCTACACAGCAAGAAAAAGAGGAGGCCCTGTCCCTTCTGCTTCTGTGACTCACTTTTCCTCAGCCTTAGTTCCCTCTGAGGGGTGGCACCCTCCTGCCACGTGACGGTAATATCAAGTCCCGCTGTGCGGCTCTAATGCACTGTAGGTGTGTCCTGCATTCGGGTTCCCTTCCCCCCCACCCAAAACCACAAGGTTGAGGCAATAGGTGTGATAAGATTTATACCCCAAGGCAGAGGTCCTTTTTATTCCTTGAAGACACAGACTCTTGAATCTGCTTGGGTCCTGTCTCAAATGACAGCGCTGAAGACACCTGCTGCACTTTGACACATTCCATCAGGGTCCCTTCCTGACACCCCCCCCCCCCCCCCCCCGCCCCGAGCCAAAGGGTGTGGCCTTTACTTACAGCCCCAGTGACTCTGAATAAAGATCATCCCACATGTCCTATATGACTTAAGTTCAAATCGCAATTGAAAAGGCTGCTAAACCTTTAACTTCTCCTAACAGGTACCCCTCCTCTTGCCACCCCCCACCCCCAGCACACAAGTCCCAGGTCATGAAGACTTCTGGGGACAGAATCTTACATTATCCCTATTCATATCAAAGGATCAACCTATATTAATGTCACTGAAAAACATCATTGCTGCTGGCTGGTGACTGACATGGTGACTTAAAAATGTCCCCAAATTCTTAAAATTCATAGTATCCTCATCTGCATTCACTGGTTCCCTGTACTAATCCAGTGATGGAGTAAGCCCCAAGTGGAACCATGAAACCTTTTCTCCTCCCCAATATGTGATTGACCTATCAGCCTCCCCCAGCCCCAATATATATACCACACACACACACACAGGGGTGTTGTAAAGGGCCAATAGGAACCTTGTAGGAGTGTTGCTGTGCGGTGGGAGCTTCACAAAATGGAGCCCATCTGAAACGGTCAATGAGCCAGGCCGGACTTCTGGTACAGTAGACTTGATCATTATCTTGATGCCAGTTTGCTAATCTGCCCCAATCGGGCATGTCCTCAGGACACACCTTTGGGAGTGATAATTTGAAACCATCCTTTATTCAGGAACCTCCAATCTGGACAGATTGGAAGCCATGGCTCTTACAAGAACAGAATACTATGCTTTTAGTTGGAATATCTTGTCTAAAGAGGCCCTGCTCATCAATGTGATGCAATATGATCTCTTTCTCTTTTCAATCCCACCGTAGTGAGAAGGCAACCAAAGTTCAGGACATCAAAAACAACCTGAAAGAGGCGATCGAAGTACGTGTCTGGGTCCTTTCTCTTTTCTCTTCGCCTCCCTTTCAGACATTGCTGTCCCCCTGACCTCTTTGCTAAATTGTTTTCAGACCATCGTGGCCGCCATGAGCAACCTGGTGCCCCCCGTGGAGCTGGCCAACCCTGAGAACCAGTTCAGAGTGGACTACATTCTGAGCGTGATGAACGTGCCTGACTTTGACTTCCCTCCTGTAAGCTCAGCTCCTGGATTGTCCCTTTAACCCCCTCCCCGGCACGCTGGGCGGCACGGGTGGTGAGCTCTGTTGGCGAGTCACCTGTATGTGGCACAGGAACATGGGTGACACACAACCCCCAGGCACACCTGTGCCAAAGCCACACACTTCGGGCAAAACTCGTTTCAGCAATCCTGATTCTTAGGAAAAAGTGAATTCCCTTAGGATCCTTAATGTTCAAACAAACAAAACAAAACCCTAATAATCAGATCATTAGAGCTTTTGCTCAAAATAGGTGAGCAGAATTCCATCACCCCTTGTAAATCTTGCCTCGCCCATCCCCACAAGTAAACACACTTTAATCTTCAACCTGATTAGATCGTAAATTTTCATGCGGGAAAGTGTCAGGAGTTGTGTCACAGCCTTAATCATGCCCTTGTACACGACTTGTGACAAGCAAAGCTGTATGTTAAACATGGCACACAAATGCGAATTGTCCAGTTAGAGGAAAGTATCCCAAGATACCAAAGAATGCAGAAGCGAAGTGCCAGCCCTGAGTTTTCTCATTTTAAACAATTTGCTAGTTGACCTTTATTAAGGTTTTTTTGTCTTGTTTTTCCCAAAAATCAGTCCTTGGCATTGGGCAAATGAAACCCTTTCTCATTTTTTTCCCTTTTTTTGCAAAAAAAGGAAAAGAAAGGACTTTCACCTAAATTATAACTTGGAGATTTTCTTCTGTGCACCCTGGTTGGTGTGCAGGACGCTGTTTACAAAAATCCTCTGTTTCATAAAGGACTATTTTTAGGTAACACAAAACTGCCCAGGCCCAAGCATATACCTTTTGACCCCCCCACCCTTGTTTGTAGGGGAGGAGTAGTTTATGAGAGGAAAACGGGGAAACAAGATGGAAAGATGCGCAAGTTTATAAGGCCCAGAAGGAAAGGACTTGTCTACAGTTAAAACAATGACTTATTGTTGCCTTTTGTCAGGCTTTCCTGGGAATTTGTGTTTGTGTATTTTAAATGGGCTTGGCTGCAAACTACTACTAGCAGGGAAGCAGTATTAATAAGTAGGGCTAGGTGCTTTTTTTTAAAACAGCATTTGCTTGGAAAAAAAAATTCAAGCAGTCAGCACAATATATATAATGCCTATTTCTAATAGAAGAAGAAATGGCAGCCTGTTGAAAATGCACCAGAACAGTAACCTTTTATTAGTTGTGCTGATAGCTAGACTGTGTCTCTTCCTACTTTTAATCCTTCTCTTGCTGAATTCACATCGAAGAAAAAAACCTCTTTCCTTGTTAAGGGAAGATCGCCCCCAAATCATTAAAAACGTTTCTATGTTCAAATGAAATGGGCATCGTAACCCCCACTGCAGTTCAGAACAACCCAGAGGTCATTTGCTCCCTTTTTTTCTCCCTATCACCACCCTCCCTGAGGGATGGGCACCAAGAAGGCCAGCTTTGCCAGCAATTCCTAACCATCATATTTTTGGGGTAAAATTCAAATTTTCCTGGAAGGGAAATTTCATCCCAGCACATCTTACAAATGAAATATCTTGTTTTCACAACACTGAATCATTCCTTGGCATATTCTCCTAATTCAGATTAATGTATATCTTTCCCGTAAAGGCAATTGTGTGAGGAAACAAAATGATTCAGTAGTTTACTCTGCCCTGTGTTCCCCCTCTCGCCCCCCAAAAAATAACATAGGAGGAACACTACCCAGGACCAGTTAATTCACAATAAGAGGACAGCAGGAATTAATTACTTTGGCTTTTAATTACGTTTAACAAATTGAATGAAAGTTCTTGTGAGCAGAGAGTCATTAATTTGGCTCGCCACCGGGAACCCCACCCCATGCTGGTCACAGGGCGCCTGGTGGTGCCTGAGTCGGAGGGTTGGAGGGGTCGTGCTCCTGCCCAGGCACATGCTCATCCCTGGCCTTTCTTGTGTTTGCTCTCAGGAGTTCTATGAGCATGCCAAGGCTCTGTGGGAGGATGAAGGAGTGCGTGCCTGCTATGAGCGCTCCAACGAGTACCAGCTGATTGACTGCGCCCAGTAGTGAGTAACCCCTCTTCCACAGCCACACGCGGGATACGCACACGTGGAGAAAGTGCTCAAACTCTCAATTCCCGCTTGTGAAGTTACTGGCAGAGGGCTTCTGTTCATAGACGCCAGCCAGTCAGCTCCACCTGCACGTAGAAAGTTCTAGTCTGATTCATTTGTTTCAGAAAGCCCTTAATTGCACTTTTCAGTGCAGTGACATTATTTTATATAAACAATTAATGCCTGTGAGAGCAAAATGATAATTACTTGCAGTAAAGTGATGTTCGTAATTAATTAGCTTGAAGTAATTCATTGGATTGACCTCCAAGCTTTTGGAAGGAAGACTGGGCAGCTCTCGGGCTTTGAATAATGTAAAAATACTATATTTTATTGCTATAATTTAAAAACCTAACAAATGATGACGACAGAACCATGCCCTGCCCCCTCCTTGGTGGCTGATGATGGCCTTGCTATTTCTGCGATCAGGTAAGGGACTGCAGGACGTGTCCAGCGTTACTGGGTGCTGTTCATGTGGACTGAGGTTTTGTGTTGAATTCCATTGCCTACCCATATTATTCATTCATTCATTTGTTCATTCACACGGGGCTTTAATTCAAGGATGCTTCCCCCTGTGGGGTCCTTGCCCTGTCCCCTCCTGAGCTCTCTTCCAATGGACAGCACCGTACCTACCTGGAACGTTGCCTTTTAAATAGCCTACAGCCTCCCCGATCCTGTACCCGACACAGTAAATACATGACGGTCAGAGCCATAAAGGGGTTTTTGAAGGTAGCGCAAACACGCTACGTGGTCTCGGTGAAAATATTCTGAAGTTGGGGTGTCTTATGACTTGGTGCGGGGAGGGAGGTGACAAATGGTGATGTAGGTAGCTGAAACTCAGAAACGACTTTGCTATAGAAAATAAGGAGTCAGGAGCAAGGTTCCCAGTTGGCTCAGCAACAGCAACAAGTGCATTACTTAGGAGCCCCAAACCTGAGGGATTTATTGTGACTCTATCACCAGTTGAATAAATAGGAGGTAGGAATAGGTAACAGCAAACAAACAGCAAGTCCCCTAGAATCCTGTTATCTACAAATCACAGAAGCTTCTCGTAGGGTCTGTGAAACCTATCAATTCCTCCCTCCCTGGCCCCGCCTTCCCATAGGAAGTGCCCAGTGGATTGTTTCCAGTTGTCACAGACAGAGCTGTGTCGCAGTGGACTAGACATGCCAATCTGTGTGTTTTCTCAAGGAACACAAAAACAGTCCATCTTGGCCAGTCCCTGTGACCCCAACCCCCTACCACTTCTTTAACAAAGTCCCTGATTTTCTCAAAAGTTTGAACTAAAAGCTGGAAGTGCTAATTATAGTAACTCAAAACAAATGGAAATCCTGGAATTGTTTGCGTTTTGTATTTTGGATCCAAGTCAGAAGCACAGGTACAAGATTAGGAGGGTTTAACCCTCGAGGCTTTGAGTGCCCTGGAAGGGGGCAGGGGAGGGTGTAACAAGTTCATTGACCGGAATTTTAGCCAGGTTTCTGGGATTTTTTAAATTATTATTATTATTTTTATTTCCCACCATTTAAAAGTTTTCTCTTAAAGCACCATTTTATCTGAAAATGGCAACGTTTGCACAGTTTATGGAAAGTTTTAAGGAAACTTGGAGGGGAAAAAAAAAACCCAGCTTCAAACTTTTAAAATGTCTTCCCTGGCGGGATGATTGGAACAGCCCCGCATTCACGCTGACCAGCGTGTGTCTGGTTTAACTGCCTTTACGTTAAAGTTGCCATCCTGGTCTCTTGCCCATTTCTTAAGCTGCCTATTTTTATTTGTTGAGCTGGGGTTTGGCTGGCGGGGCTCCAGATGTCTCTCTCACAAGATTTGGTGCTGATGATCTATTTATAGAACTGTGGTTCTGTTGCCATGGCAACATGCTGGAGGCCAGGGCGGCTGGGGAGCTATTTCTGGACCGGTGCTGTAATGTGGGACTGATTGGGCAAGTTAGTGTATCCTCTAAGCCAGACTAACTCTAAACTGGTAAAAAAGAAGGGGAGAAAAAACTTGCAGAATGTCGTTCAGTAGACTTCTTCTCCCTTTGTGATTTTTTTTTTCAGTTTTCAAACAGTTCCATACTCCCTCCCTCCTCCCCTCGGCGTGCCCCCAAAACTCCCCCCTAGTTTTAACATGAACTTTGCATATTAGTTAAATGACCCCCCCCAATCTTTCCAAAGTTATTTTTCCTAATGGTGTGTCTAGTCCAGCAACACCAGCAGGGTCCTCTTTGCTCTGGGAAGGTTATGGCCGGGGCCCCCTCTTCCACATAACTTCCCCTCCAGTGGAAGATCCACTCTCAAGCCCCAAGCCCCTCTTTTGTGCAGGATCTGAGCCAGAGAAGGATCCATAACCTTGGAGGGCTGTGGGATTTTTTTTTAATAACTAAAAGTCTCCTCTCTGGAGTGTTCTATTTCATGGACCAAATTGAACGGAAGGGAACTTTGTGTTCGTTTCCTGTTCGGTGTGGTTAGGCCAGAAAGGGCCTCTTGTGTCAACCTCTTTTGTTCTCTTTTAATAAGTGAGATTCTTAAAAAGTAGGAGGAAGGGATACCCATTCTGAGTAATTCAAACAATCTCATTTTCATGAGTCCCTTGAGGGGAAAATCCTTGCTGCTTTTAAGTGTGCCATTTTACTTTAAAAAAAAATGGTATGGAGCATAAGTATACAGTTTTCAGATTACTTGTCATTTTAGTCCAAGCCAAACAACCCGAGAAATTTTAAATCTTTAGCCAATCATTTTCAAATGGCACAAGATCAGATAGGCCTGGCTTGGGGGCCTCCGCTGGTTGCACAGAACCAGAACCCCACCTTTTGTCCTGTGCTGTACCTGTAGGCCAGGGGTTCCAAGAGTCCATCCTACTTCCTGGTTCCTAGATCTCCTCATCAGCCGAATGCATTTATCTTTAATGCTGCTTGAGCTAACCTTTCTGAGGCATAAGCTTTGAGTCATAAACATACCCAACGCAGGCAAAACTCCCATTGACTTAACGCCACGTAACGATGACACCATCATTTCCATTGAGCTCAGCTTTGTAGCGAGGCAGGAATTGGGGGCCAATCACCATGAGCTTATGAGCTCCTTGAAAACCGCGGTGTGTCTCTCCTTGCCTCCCAGCTTCCTGGACAAGATTGATGTCATCAAGCAGGCTGACTACGTGCCCAGTGATCAGGTATGCAGAAGTTCTTGGTCGGGGGACTCGGAGCCCTCATTCCAAGCTAGTCAAGATTTTGCTTTCCAATTGGCAATTACTAATATTGCAGTTGGTTTTGGGGAGATCTGTTAACCTGGGTTTTGTTTTAGGATCTGCTTCGCTGCCGCGTCCTGATTTCTGGAATCTTTGAGACCAAGTTCCAGGTGGACAAAGTCAACTTCCAGTAAGTGAATGACTCCCATTTTGAAACAGAATTGTTCCCTTACGTTCCCACCAGCAGAGTGGTGGAGTGGTGTTAGCCCTTTGCAGCGACCCGGTGTCCTCTTGTCTTCCGCAGCATGTTTGACGTGGGTGGCCAGCGCGATGAACGCCGCAAATGGATCCAATGCTTCAATGGTATGGAAGCCATGGATTTCTCGGCTCTATAAGCACGTTTTGCTCTTTTGATCATTAAAGGTCATTTTCACCTCTAACGTGCATTGCTTTTGCTTTCTTGTGCTGAAGATGTAACTGCCATCATCTTCATGGTGGCCAGCAGCAGCTACAACATGGTCATTCGGGAGGACAACCAGACCAACCGCCTGCAGGAGGCTCTGAACCTTTTCAAGAGCATCTGGAACAACAGGTTTCTGGAGCATCTTCCCCGGCTTCTCCCACCCTCCCACCCAGGGGTCCTGTTACTGTGATCTCAAGGCCCTGTATTTGCACTATTATAAAAAGATTCATGTAAGAATGTCAAACCCCTCGCAGAAAGAATGATTTCTTTTCCTGGACATTAAACCTGCATCCCTCTTTGTTAGATGGCTGCGCACCATCTCTGTGATTCTGTTCCTCAACAAGCAAGACCTGCTCGCTGAGAAAGTCCTTGCTGGAAAATCGAAGATTGAGGACTACTTTCCAGAATTTGCTCGCTACACTACTCCTGAGGATGGTACGTATGGCCTTCTGCCATTGCACTGGGACATGTCTAAGTTCATCGGTCCTATACATTCATGAAAGTGCTAAAAGTTTCCATTTCTGGAGGTTTTTCATGTAGGTAGAGTTGAAGAATCACCTAAATGAACCACCTCTAAGAATGGAAGTCTCCCTTCACTTGCACCACCAAAGTATAAGGGGGTCTGTGGGGAAGCAAGAAAAATTTATTTCTGCTAATTTGCATATGGAAAAATCCCAGGAGATAAGGGGCTACAAGGATGCCATCATTCAAGCTCTGCTCCTAACCTTTTAATTACCTTACCAAAATATTTCTGTTCTTCACAGCTACTCCCGAGCCCGGAGAGGACCCACGCGTGACCCGGGCCAAGTACTTCATCCGCGACGAATTTCTGGTGAGTAGAGCCCATCTTTAGATCTCTCTTTACTGGTTCTTTTTCTCAGAAGTGCAAATTTACTTGAACATTTGGGGATTAAACTCTTGAATTCTTCCATTTTATGTCACTGATAGCCACTGAGAATTTTAGCTTTAACATAACATCAGTAGCTGGTCAGCTAGTCCTCAGCAGATCCCCAGTTGATGATCGTAGAGTGGTGGCACTGACTCCATGTTCTTGTGTTTGTGCCACAGAGAATCAGCACTGCTAGTGGAGATGGGCACCACTACTGCTACCCCCACTTCACTTGCGCTGTGGACACCGAGAACATTCGCCGTGTGTTCAACGACTGCCATGACATCATTCAGTGCATGCACCTTCGTCAGTATGAGCTGCTCTAAGAAGGGAACACCCAAATTTAATTAAAGCCTTAAGCACAATTAATTAAGAGTGAAACGTAATTGTACACGCAGTTGATCACCCACCATAGGGCATGATTAACAACGCAACCTTTCCTTTTCTCCCCAAGTGATTTTGCGAAACCCCCTTTTCTTCCCTTCCGCTTGCTTAAATATTCCAAATTTAGAAGGCTTAAGGTGGCCTACAGAGAAAAAGAAAAGGAAAAAGGCCACAAAAGTTCCCTCTCTCTTTCAGTAATTAAAATAACAGCAGCAAACAGAGATAATGAAATAAAAGAAATAAATGAAATAAAAGAAATAAAAGAAATAAATGAAATAAATATTGTCTTGTGCAGCATTAAAAAAATCAAAATAAAAATTAAATGTGAGCAAAAGATGTGAGTCCTGTGAATTATTTGCAGTTTTGAGCAAATACCTGTTAACGGTTTTGATGGCTGTAGGAGATGGGAAGCCCCACGTGGAAAAGTCCCCAAGGTTTATAAAATGGGGTAAAATCTTGACACTCTGTTTTTTTGTTGACCTGATTTGGGTATCTGAAAACAATTTGCAGATAACTCATAAAGGTCCACCCCTGTCCTTTGCCCATGCCCCATAGAAAACCATTGGCCCATGTCTAAGAATTCTGCATTGATGGTTGCCACCCTACCCATTCCACCAGCTTCCCTGATATATAGCATCACAGTGTGCCTAGAGTCTCCCCAAAATAGGTTTTCAGTTTGGGGCTCTGTCCAACTTGAGGGTAAGGGCTCACGTATACGGGGGAAATTCAGGAATGCAGTTTCAAAAGGGGAAGTGGGCTTACTCAAATTGTGCATAATGTAGACCTTTATCAAATCCTCACATTGTACACTTCTAATAAGTATCTCAGAATTTTGTCAATTACCCTCAAACCTGGCAGAAAAAAATGAACAAGCTATCAGAAAGAAATGGTTTTTAAACCAATGGATAAATATTTGGGGACAGACTTAAACTGGATCCCTACCTCACTCCATACACAAAGGAATTTTAGGTTGATCAATCACATGTTTAATTTTTTTAATGTACCTTAAAATGGGTATATTTACAATCAGAATATTGGTTTATAGGAGGCCCCTTCTATATGACCTAATAGCCACAAGCCATGGGGGTGGGGTGGGCTATAGGAAGTTAAGATTATATAAAACAAAATATGAATGGGTGGAGACTGGGTAAAAATCTGTAACAGGGTTGATTTTCCCTAATAAGCCATCATAAAAATGCAAAGTTCATAAACCTAGTTTACTTTAAAAAATTACAAATAAAGGGAAAAATGGGGAGTCTTATAATGAAATATACACTATAAACTCGGGTGGTGGGGATCGTCAGCATTCACAGGCCCCACATGAAACTCAGTAAAGCTGTAATGAACTGTGGGTGGCTTGGACCTGAGGTCCACTTGGGCTCCCTAATCTTCATCCCCAGGGTCACACCTTAAGCTTGTGGTCACCCCTGGTGTGGCTTCCTGGGGAAGTGGGAGAGTGAGACCAGCTCCTCTTCAGCATCAACCACTGCACCCTCTGAAAGTGGCCAAATGAAACTTTAAGTTGATTCTGTAATTCAGCCCAAAAATCCACTTCTGGTTCTATTTTCCAGATAAAATTAATCCTAGCCAAATTAATCCTCTAGCATAGCTCACCAGAGGTGAGCAAAATAAGCCCCAAGGAGGGCAGAAAAAGTAGCAAATACTCACCTCCATGAACCCATTGAAAGCTTCCTACACGATATTCAGTCTCAGTCCACACAAAAATTGTGTGCATACTCTGTAGATTTTGTTGCAAAACAACCCTCAAAAGTACCCTCAAATTAACATACAATCCCCCAAATTAACATCAATCCACTTAAGTGCTTATTATGCAAATAAAGCCACAAGACCAGCCCACCAATCCCCATAATCCTCCAAAGTACTCCAAATAAACAGCTAACTAAAATCTGGGTATCAGCTATCAAGGTCAGCCCACCAAGATGGCCAGCTCTTCTAAGATGGCTGCCTGTATGCTTCCCTACATATTCTGGAACCTTCTCTGAAGAATCCACAGGAAATGACCACAGCACTAGCCACAGATCCATCAAAATTAAGAAACAAATTCTCAGGCCATAAAGCAATTACACCCAGAAAATGATACCCCAGAACCCCACCCCCTGGCCACCCCCTGGAACTGGCAGACTTCACAATAACCTCTAGAAGGAGGGTCACATAAGTCACAATTATCCAGCCCCTACTATGTGCCGACCACTGCCCAATGAGACAGTTTTGGCCATCACCACCATTTTACAAATGAGTCAACCAAGGCCTAGAGAGGTCAAAATCATTTGCTACAAAAGACATGGCTGGTTAACCAGGAATCTGGGCTTCAAACTCTGGTAGCCAAAGCCCACTGCTTGAGTACCATACCATACTGTCCTTCTGGAAGGTACCAAAAAAAAGAGAAAATGGCCTCCTGTCGTTGGGTCCAGGATGCCAGTTGTCAGGAGGGGAAATCCTGCAGGACTCTTCTGGGTTCTAAAGCCAGTGGTGATGATGGGGTGGGTGGGGTCAGTGGCTGAGCTGGGAGGGGGTCCTCTTCCCTCTGACAGTGGCATTGGCCATACTCCTGCCTCCCCACCAGTTCAGACGTTTGCCATGGGGCCACCCCTAGTCACTCAAATGTGTTTGAGGGTTCCTTCTGTTCCTATGGATTTATTCCTTCTACTTAAAACATTTCCATTTCTATTTTCCATCGGACCTGGTCCCAAACATTCCTTTTATAGGCCTACTTTAAAAATCTAAATTCTAGGACCTTCAGAAGACCAAAAAATTATGAGGAATTTCATCTAAATCTTTGATTACAAGTAGCCATTAGTTTTTAAAATTTCAGCTGAATTTTACATCTCTATATGAATGCAAAACAACATTTTTCTAAAGGTAACAATTTGTGGGCAGCGGGGTGGCTCAGCGATTTAGCACCACCTTCGGCCCAGGGTGTGATCCTGGAGTCCTGGGATCGAGTCCCCTGTCAGGCTCCCTGCGTGGAGCCTGCTTCTCCCTCTGCCTGTGTCTCTGCCTCTCTCTGTGTGTCTCTCATGAATAAATAAATAAAACCTTTTAAAAATTTTAAAAAATAAAGGTAACAATTTGTGCCACCCTTTCTAAAGGTGTATAGACCATATAAAACTATTTAGTGACCTTTTAGAGAATAAATAAATATAATAAACCAGCAAGCTCTCCAATAAGGCCAGTATATGGGGAGTATCTAGAATTGAGCAGAATCTTTATCCACTGTCATTTTTACTTAAATGTGGGCAAAATCATATCCAAAAAAATGACCACCTCTGCAAAACCCTTCTACGTCAAATGGCCTTCTATTATAATTGTTCCTCGGATATTACTGGTCATCTTTATGCAATACAAGCATACAGAGTACAGAATCCCTGCCAGCCATTGAGAGTTTTGCTCTCATGGGGTTTACATTCTATCAGGGGAGACACACATTTACCAAATAAATAATCAAAAGAATTACAGATGGCAACAAGGTCTCTGAGCTAATAAAAAGAACGGGGCAATAAGGAATGGGAGGTATTTGGGGAGGGATTCCACTTTAGATAGAACAGCCAGAGAGGGCCTCTCGGGGGAGGTGATTTTCTCATGGGAATGCAAAAGTTGAGAAGGCACTTGCCATCCATAGGAGTAGCTCACATCAATGGGTTTTATTAATCCTGATTATTCAAAGATTATAAATAATATTTATGGAGTACTTTAACATGTGATAGGTGCTGTCCGAGGCCCTTTTTGTGAATTATCTCATTTAATCTCTTTGAAACCCTTTGAGGATGTGTCCTGTCATCTATACAAGATGTACGCAATCTGTACCCCATTGTACAAAATTTCAAAAAGTGGTATCTGAGACATGGTGAATAATTTATGCAAATTATGCTTTTTAACAATGCCTATGCTAAAAAGGCCATTGCAGTAAGCACTTGATTGGAGTAATTGCTACCCAGGTTCCTATTTTAGAGTTAAGGGATTTGGCGTCTCTGTGATAATTTTGGTATGTTTAAACACGCATATACTATGAGCATCTAAAGTTTGCTGGTTTTGTCTAATTTATTCTATCAGTCAGGAACGCGTTACAGCCTTTGACTTGGAGTGCCACAGAGAAAGAGAGGCCTGTAACTCACTTCACAGGAGTCCTGAAGAATTCTGAAAGTGGTTCCTCCTGTTACTTAAGCAGCTCATCAATGGCAGGGCCGGTGCCGCCACAATTCTCCTGGCGTCTCTCTCCTGGTTGCAAGACATGGTATCACATCTTAGCCCAAGGCAGAGAGGAGAGGGAGAGAAAGCCTAGTCAACTCTCTCTTTTATCAGGAATGCAAATGCTTTGTAGCTGCCCTTCCATTTTCTCAACCACGTGAAATACACATAGATACCTAGAGAGCAAGATAGTTAGATGCCTAGATAACTAGCTAGACAGACAGAAAAATGTATGCTTAATAACACTATCACAAAGAGAGGAGGATTTGCAATTTTCTGTTGCACAGACCTTGATGGAGCATCTAGAAAGATCTATCTAGTGCTTGTAGTTTTTAAGGATTAGGGAAGATAATAGGAAAAAACTCTCAAATCATAAGAGAGCAATTTGGATAATTCTATGTATATCAGTTTGAAAGCCTAGATGAAATAGATAGTTGTCCAGAAAAATGCTGTTTATCAAAACTGACTCCAGTGGAGACAAAAACAATCTAAGCAAATCAGTTACTGTAGGAAAACAAACAAACCACAGAGCCTAGTGAGCACCATGATAAGATGGCTCCGGGCTGATGTTGGAGTGGGAAGCTGGCAAGTGGAAGGAGACATGAGGGAGGCTTATGGGATATCTGTTTCTTGACCTAAATGCTGATTAAACAAAGTTATTTAATAAAATTCATTTAGTTATATAGCCATGATTCATGAAGATTTCAGCCTGTACACTATACTTCAAAAACATTTTTTTAAATGAGAGGAAGGAAGAAAGCACTAGACTTGGGTAATTTCACAGAGAATTCTACTAAATCTTTAAAGATCAAATAATTCCAATACTACTTAAATTATTCCAGAGTATAACCAAAGGAAAATTTCAAAATTATTTTTGTAAAGAAATTATAATATTGATTTTCTAAAAAATGTTTTAAAGATTTTATTTATTTATTTGACAGAGAGAGAGAGAGTGAGCATGCACAAGCAGGGGGAGTGGCAGGCTGAGCAGAGAGCCCAACACAGGACTCGATCTCAGGACCCTGGGATGATGACCTGAGCCAAAAGCAGATGCTTCACTGACTGAGCCACCCAGGCACCCCTTACAATGATTTTAAAAT